ACAATGGACGTAGACCAAGCTCAGATCTGGAAGATTATCCAGGATCCTCCTTATGGTACACAGCGACCTCTGGAAAGTGTGTGGGAGGGAAAGGGGGAGAGAGAACAAAACAATCACTAGATAATGAATATCGAAAAACTGAAGTGATGGGAGTTTACTGTGAGCAAGTCACACTGCCTTTTAAGTAGACAATCAAATATATCAGTAAAGCATCATTTTGTGAAGCCTATTAGCATCACAAAGGCTATGAAACTTGTAGGCTTTATACAGAGCTCAAAGCTGTGCAGCAGCAAAGAGCCATATGGGAACACTCGAAAGCCTGCTGCAGAGGCTGTAGATGTGTTCAGGAGACTGAAGCTATGAAATTTATTATATTCCATATGTGAATTCACAGCCTATCCAATGCATTTACACTTCCCACACATACACAAGTTTATTCAGTCAAATCTATATTCCCTAGTGGCTCTGGCTCTTCACAGTTAACTTTCCCGAGTGTGCATGCACTGCACACTCTTCACTCATTCACTGCTCACCACCAACGTCAAAATACCCTCTGCAAGAGGGTTGATGGGGGTGGGGAGAAACCTTAGTTTCAACAAAAAGGGCCCAAAAGGTAGGAACAAAATCTTCTTTTACCAAGTCCAGGGCTGTGCCTTTGTCCTGACAGACTGCAAGGAGGTAAAGTGCAGCTCTGAGTACGTATGGGGGGCGACAGTCTCCACAGTCCTGTGCTGATAGGAGGAAATTTCTTATGGCTAAAAATAATTTTGCTTCTGGGACAAACCTGCATTCAAGAAGATTGGAGTGGAAACAGTAACATTAGATGTGCTTACCCACCAATACACAGTATGCAATGGCCACAAAACCACTTGTCTTGTGTACTCTTGGCTCACCTGTCCCCAAGGGAGTAGGCAAAGTATAAGAGTAGTATGAAGCAGTGTTGGTGGCTGTAAAGAGACTGATCCAAAGAGAAAGGCTCAGGGGTTTCAGCCAGGAGGAGAAGGCTTTCAGCAATGGTGTAGTTTAATTGAGGCAGATCCTTCTGCAGAAGCTCAGATATCTCTTGCTCTAGAAATAAAACTAATATGAGCAAACAGGTAGTGATGAGCAACATCTATGACAAAGCTGAGTGGAATAGGGGGATGGAAACACCTGCCTGCCCTAACTCAAGCACATCAAATTAGGGAAGATCCTGATGTAGGAAATATCAAAGCCAAGCTACTACCCCACAGTCTGCATGCAGCAAGCGCACCTCTATGATTTGGCATGAATAGAGGCATGAGACCTGATTTAATGGAGCTGACTTTGAGGATGAAAAGACACTTCTGTTTGAGGCTCCCAGTTCTTCGATGATGCTGCCTGTACAGTGACCAACCACTGCCAGTAGGCTTTTGTGATGTGGAAACTTTCATCTCATTCTTTTGGGACTTACCTATTATGGAAACTTACAGTATAGACAGGACTCATAGAATATGCCAGAGGAAAAAAATGACCTTAACCTGCAGATATGGGTGACTATGTGGCAAGTAATGTTGCCTCAATTAAGCCATGCACGGTTGTGCTAATAAATGTCACCATGTAAACAAAATCATGGGCAGATGAAACACATTCTTTCAGGTAGGGTTTCAAATTCTTCAAAATGCATTCTCCGAGTGTTATTTCCTTGCTGGACCAGCTTAGAAAAAAGCTGGGGGAAAAAAAAGAATCTTGAAATAGAGCTTATGTTTGTCTTCCCTTCCCTCCTCCTTTGTCTTTTTCTTTATTATTATTTTTGCATCCATTGCCTAAACAGAGGGTGGCAGGGCTTCAAACTAAACAAAGCAATTTGTCTCTTTCCCCAAACTTGCCCTCCTGAGAAGAAGTTCTCTCCTTCTCTGTGGCAGAGTAAAGGCTCAGGCACAAGCTGTAGAGGAAGCTGGAACAGGCCTGATTCAAGGCAGGATTACTGTGAAGAAGAGCAGAAAAATACAGTGAAGAAGGCTAGAAACATCCTCTTCAATATCTCTAATATCACACACCATCTGCCAGGACCTCAGTTTACTGAATGAACACATACAAGCACCTGCCCCGTCACAACAAGACTCCAGGAGCCAATCTGGGCTTCCTGGAAAACGAGGAGTTCCCAAAGGACAGTCAGCTCACAGAGGAGGCGAGTGTGCACGGTCACGACAGTGAACGTGTTCACATACCTTGGGACAATACGAATGCAGTGAGGCACTCTCACAACTTGGTATACACAGGGAGTCCTGTAAGGACAGGATCTCTAACACTGCAGAGAAGGGGGGGTGTTTGAGGGTGGCTCCCAGTACCTGATTCCACTGGTGAACACCATTAAGAAAGTTTTGTAGCAATGGTGTTTCCAGGGATGAACAATGAAGAATGCCAAAACATTAACTAAAAGGGGGAGAACAGCTCTATTTCCAGGTATTTCTCTCTCTCCAATGGTTTCCTTGCAGAATAGGACGTAACCAAACATCTTTACATTGTAACACACCATCCCTGGTGCCCCACACCACTGTATTCAGAAGCCTAGATCACTCCTCCCACACACCATTCAGGGGCAGAAACACCCCCACTCTAAGTTCCACAGTAGTAACATGGACTAGGGGTGCTGTGTATTTTGTTTACTCTTTTAATGAGATGCAGTCACAGGAAAGAAGAGGTAAAACATCTCCGCAGACCCACAGAGAGTCTCCCCAAGTGTTCCTCAAGCTAGAAATCATAGCCTCTGCTACAGAAAACCTTTTGCAATGTCTGCTGTTCAACTCTTCCCTCTCATTTCTTACACATTATCACCCCATGAGGAACAAAGATAGTGGTAATATGTGCCTAGGAAGCCAGAGCTTAGGTGGAACTGATGCTACTGTTACTTCTTTTCAAAACACCCACTGATTTGACTACTCCAAAGTCAGGCTGCTATATCTCTATCTGCACAGCTCATGACGGAGCACAGAATTCTCACAACACTGTGTAAATCCACCCGTCCGCTACTTGACTGCTTCTCCCTTCTCCCACATCCAGCTTTTCCATTGTCAGTTACCATTTACATTTGGCAATAAGATACAACCACTCTTGAGTCTTTCAGCCTCCTGTCTTGTGTAATCAGGTGCATCAGATAAGGCATGACCTGCTTTCCCGTCTGGAAATTTTTGACTGGCTTACAATACACACATTACAATACCTTTGTACAGAGCAAAATCTGGCCTTCAGCTCCAGTGTCAGTTGGATGAAGGAGGAGGATGCTAGACAGAAAGCAAGACAAAAATGTCGAAGGAGCACAGAACGTGTATGATAAAGGAAAAGAGCAGGCAGGTCCCACAACCATCCCCACACAAACCTGGTGAACAGGGAAGGCCATCCCAGTAAGAATATATTTGTTAGCCTTTCTCTCCCAAAGCAAACTACTCTGAGTTTGGTTTGGAGGGGAGTATCTGAGAATCATTTGTTTTCACAGGAGGAGAAAGGAAGATTTGCTCGCTTCACATGTTTAGAATAGAGGAATTCCCTACATCACTTCTCTGATGTGCAAAGAGTAAGGAATACATAGAATAAATAGGATTTCTACAGAGTAAAATCTCATCAACAATTCCAGCATAATCCCTGTCTACAGGAACAGACAATTCTGAATATTCCAGAGGAAAGGGTAAAGCTGACACAACTTACTTATCTAAAATAAAATCTGTCCC